GAAAGTCAGGAATGAGATAATGTTACATAGACCTTCATTTGCCAATGGAATTAAACATGCATCAGGTTTGACATTAGAACTTATGGAAGCAAAAACAACACTGTAATGAGAAGCAATTGTGCAATAGAGATCCTTAAGGAAGGTTGATGGTAAAAATAAACCCTATATTTCATTCTTTGAAAGCCATTTCTTTGTCTGCAGTGATAATTTCTTCTATCCCAGTAGCCACACCTAAGAAATCACAACAAGCTCTCAATAAAAGCTGTTCAGACGATAAAATGAATGAAATTATTGAACAGAATTTAAGAGGTAGGATCCCCCTTCTCCCATGCTAGGCAGGACATCATTTATAGACTTTCAGCCGTTTCCTCCCACTGCTCTTCTGAAAGATGACAGATACATTTCTGTGGATGTATTTTTCCACTTCTCAAATGAAGGCACAGAAAGAAAGTAATTGGTATGTGTCAAATTTGTGTACTAAGTTATCAAACTAGAAATGACAAAAGACGTTTAGTTGTTAGACTTCCTGCTGGACATAAAAACACCTTGCTGAATCTACATAGGAGAGATACAAGATCTTTAAGATTGTCTCACCAAGCCCCCAGATCACAATTATGATACTCTCTGTAGTACAGGTTTGTAAAGTACATAAAGAGACAATCTAGAGTATCTGTGATCACACCCAAATTTTTCAGACTGCAGCCAACACTGCAGTGCTAATATTGATCTTGTAACATTTAGGACCAAGAAACAATCAGGATGCGGGGAAGACCATCACATTGTGTGGTGACCAGAGAATAACTGGTATCTATGATTGCTCCTATTTGTGAAAGCCAAACAAAAATATTCTTGAGATATTGGTTGTAACTTGTGAGGAGAGACCAACACCCACCTCGCTACAACCTCCTTTCAGGCAGCTGTAGAAAGCAATAAGGTCTCCCCTGAGCCTCCTTTTCTACACACTAAACAACCCTAGCTCCCTTAGCCACTCCTCATAAGACTTATTCTCAAGACCAGCTTCACCAGCTTTGTTGCCCTTCTTTGGACCCTCTCCAGCACCTCAATGGTTTTCTTGTACTGCAGCACCCAAAACTGAACACAGTAATGGAGGTGCAGCCCTCACCAGTGCAGAGTACAGTGGGACAATCACTTCCCCACTCCTGCTGGCCACACTATTTCTGTTACAAGCCAGGATACCATTGGCCTTCTTGACCACCTGGGCACACTGCTGGCTCATGTTCAGAGGCTGTCCATCAACACCACCAGGTCTCTTTCTGCCGGGCAGCTTTCCAGCCACTCATCCCCAAGTCCGTAGCGCTACATGGGGTTGTTGTGACTCAAGTGCAGGACCCGGCACTTGGCCTTGTTGGAGCTCATACAGTTGGCCTCAGCTCATTGATTCAGCCTATCCAGGTCCCTCTGCAGAGCCTTCCTACCCTCAGGCAGATCAACACTCCTGCCCAACTTAGTGTCATCTGCAATAATGGCTCAGTCTTAAAACATGAGTCAAGAGCTAGCTGTTCATTCAAGATGCTTGTTCTAATAAAATAATGTGATGTAGTGCACCTTTGCGTAGTAACATAAAAGGAACAGAGTACATAGCATCTGACTCAAAGCTTATTGAATTCAGTAGGAACTTCAGAGACTTCCCAAACTAAAATAAAGCAGATGCATAAGCCGGGAAACAAATTACATTCTTGTAACCTTATTAAACAAAAAAAATTATCCTTAAACAAAAAACCCCAACCAAACAAAAAAAGACACTTTTAGAATGAAACATACTAAATTCATCTGCTCGCTCTAACCCACTGTAATCATTTCATGTTGCAAAATCCATCTCCAGCAATGGATAAAATGTGTGGGGAAAAGCATAAGCAAAGCACCTAGAACTGACACTTCTGCTACACACTTACAGCTCTCAGCACTTCACCGTGGAAATACTGAGCCAAAATCCTGTCTAGGTCTCCCTAGGTAATATCTACCAATGAAACTCTGCTTCACAAAGGCACAGTATCCTTCTTCCTTCCACTCACAGTTAAGACCTCCACAGCATCCCATGCTCTACAGAGCAAGTTCTACAATTTCCTCCTTCACTGAAAAACCCCCAAAATTCTCCTTCATGTTAAACTCTGCTCTGTGACCACTTCATATGTGAGAAACAAAAAGAGTTGTTTTCTATTAAACTTCTGTGCTAATGGTGTTTTCCAGTCTACCAGCTGCCTTTTTTTTCCTGCCCAAGCTCAAGAAATTTTGGCTTAATTTGGTTTTCTTTAAATGGCCACCATTCTGCACCTTTGATCACAGGGTATGCTTTACGAGCTAGGGTAGCATTCAAGCTATGAATGCATCATGGGTGCACTACAGTAGCCTTATATGTTTTAAATTGGCCTTAAATTCCCTTTTTTACAATCCCACCAGCACTGAGACAAAGTTTGCAGATTCACAATGACTCGAATCAAACAGTAACAGTCTGTTGTGGATGCAGAGTTAACTCAGCTTCACGATTACCATCAGTTTGCATTCATCAGCCCCTGACTTTCGATTGAATTTACTGCCTCAGTACCTATGGTGGGATCTCTTTCTCCTTATTTGAGAGGTCTGTAGCATAATCTGCTGTGTCTGAGCTAGACATCTTAATTCCCTTTATACCCATAATGCCTGTCAGATGGCATTCAAAACAGGGCAGCTGACTCACACCACTAAAATATGTACTTCTCTCCAGCGACTCTCTAAAGTGAATTTTAAGAATCAGTTCAGGCAAGTTTCACAATGTTAGAGAAATGCCAACTTTTTATTTCGAAATTCTATAATCTCTCATATAGCTGCTCTTGCATTAAGTGTCTCAGTTATCAAGAACTTGGAAAATACACAGTATTTCAAAACTGAATAGAAAAAAAGAACAAAAAAGTACAAAGAAAAATTATCAGAATTTTCCCTTTGAAGACCTACAAACCTAAATATTATAGAAGTCTTTGATCTCCCTTCAAGTTTGCTAGTCTTCCTTGCATTAATAACTACTTAATATAATGTCAAAAATAGAAAAAACAAACCAAGGACAACTGAACATGCTCTAAGAGTCAAATGTTATTTCCAGTTTGAAGTGAAGAAACTTGGAATCAATAAATATATGAATACACAAACAATCTTCACCAAGTTTAGAAATTTCAGGGGCAAGCCAAGTAGATTACTGTATAAATACACACATGTTTCTCAGAAAAGTCCAAATGGTCTTTCATTTGAGTTTGGAAAAATCCAAGCAAAAAATAACTCTTCTCTTTGAGAGCACTCTCCATTGTCTTCATAGGAGCACTGCAAGCATTTGCCATTACCCAACTCACGAAGCTCAAATTAGCCTGGTTTTATTTGCACATCTCCAGAAAGACTCGGAGCATGAAAAAGCAATTCTGTAAATTGTTCAGAGGAAGCAGTCACATGAAAACACCAGGCTAAACACAGGACAAATTGAGCACATTAATAACAATTTCAAAATGACATGTTAATATTGATTTACAAACTCACCTTTGATGCTCAGATTCGAGTTAAAGATTTCTTTTTAAATTATATTCCATTTGCGTTTTAATATATACATTCATACACATTACCCCCCAACCATCATTCTTCATGAAAGTTACCTCTTCTATATAAAATGCTTAATGGAGAGAAGACAATACAAGACGAATAAGGTCCTTCAGAAAATGGCAACCATTTCTCTTTGTTATGCTCATTTTCATATGATGTGGACAGCACAAAAATTTATTGTGCCTATACATTTTCATTTACTTGTAAAAGTTCACATGACATACACTACTTAATTACAGTTAATAGTTTGCACTGTCACAGAGGTTTTGAAACTAAGTTTGAAGTGTTTGGTTGTTCTTTTTTTTGGAAGGGAAAGTAAAGAAGGAAATAAAGTAATGGCAACAAGATGACTTTACTTAACTGGACTCCAAATGCATCAGTTTTTTTGAGTATGCCAGTGAGAGAGAATGAGAACTTCTACCAGAAGCAGCTGAATGAGAAGATGCATAAACCACACTACTTTCTTTAGTTCTGATAAACTCTCCAGAAGAGATGCCAGATGGTTTATAGTATCTGGTTAAATATTTTCTATTGGGCATTATCATAGCTTTTCCGATTCTTTTGACCTATCACCTGAAAAAACCACAACCAAAACCTACCCTCCATGATCTTGTCTGCCTTCTAGAAGAATGGAAAAACAATTTTTGTCTGTGATGATACTAACTCCATGCTTACAAGCTTTTTCAAAACCGATTCAGTGGCACACAAAAGACTGGAGCAGTAATATAGTAAAATTTGAAGCACCCTAGAGAAACACTAAGTTACAGCTATAGGAAATCATCTACGTCAAACGCTTCCATATCAAGCGCACAAAGTATCCTTTATTACTCAGCCTGGATGACAGCAATTAATCATTCCATTTGCACTGCAGTAACTGTCTATGTGCTGGCCACTCTTTCAAGTGAAATCACTCAGGGAAGCACCATGTATATATAATGTATATAAACCAGGAGGCCTGCAAGTGTAATTACCTCATTAACAAGGACATGGAATTTCATGTAGTTTGCTTCAAATTCCATTAATTCTTGTAACTTCTAGATAGAACAGACATTCTAAACAATAGGAAAAGGCTTCTTTTATTTGTCACTAATTTGGGGAAAACCTGCTTTGTTGGGTATAAGTAATCTATTAATGTACAACACACTCTAAAAGTGTTCACCTCAAAATGTCAAATTCTACAGGCAAGAGGAACAGCACAATCACCTCTGTGAAGGAACCGAATGCTCCACATTTCCTGCATGCAGGCAGGTTTTCATTACTTTCATAACTCCTACAACATCTTATAACAGACTTGATTATTATTCAAGACAATCAGAATTCTCAACCAAAAGCAACATACCTAGAGCCCTGAGGCCTCATGTCCTGCCTGATACTTTTAATAATAAAATGCTTAATTAAAAAGCATACACATGCTACCTTACCTTTGACGCCATACGCATGAACAGTGAGTTTTGATCCTCTGCTGTTCTCATCTTCTCATTTCTGACCAAATCCTTCAGGTTCATACTATCATCATCCTGAAAATATCTTATTCTTTCTTTATCTACATGAGTAGGAACCTGGAAACAAACATGTTGAAAATAAATATTAACCCAGAGAAAAAGATCAACCATAAAATTCAGATCCTAATAATTTGAACAAGTAAAGAATCACGAATTAAGCTGAGCACATCTGAAACAACTCGGATTGCTTCTTCATTTCACCTCAGGAAAACAGCATCTCTCCTTTGTTCAACTGCATCAATAGGTCTAAATAAAAACATAGCCTCTTCCTACAATTGCCATATCTTCTACATCCTTAAGCTATCGGAGCTACAACATTACCACTCAGGAAGGATGTACAGTAATTTACTGAAACAGTTAATCAGCTCACAAAAATTGAATACTCCAAGAAGTAATCTTCATTATTTACAGAAGCTTTTGAATTTTCAAGTCAGAAAAGATATTTCTGAAAACTTGTATTAATGTGGTACCTCTGCTGGGAAATGTTGCCATCTTAGCATGCACTAGAGAAGAGTTTGTCCCTCAGGACAGGACTAAACTAAATCCCAAAGGAGCACAGTGAATGGTTATTAACATAAAGCGGAGATGGCATTTTCCAAAACAGAAACAACAGGAAGATGACAAGCAATTCCTCACTCTCTCATGCCTTTCACTCCTCCATAGCAGCATTACAAACTGAGCTGTCCTACTAATCAAGACATTCTTGCTAGAAATATGAGGTACTGCCATCTCTCCTCTTATCCAAGACTGAAATATTTATTTACTGTTGCAAGTGCATATCCTAAGAATAAAACACTACTTCAGCCTCCAAGCTTCTCACTGTTCCCACGTTTTGTTACAAATATCAGGTCATATTTTTTATTATCAGCAGTAGCAGTTTTTGATCAGGAAAAAAGAAAAGGAAAATTACTCCCAAGACCCAAATATCCCTGTAAAAATCTTTCTTATTTTAGAAATATTTACCTCTGCTAATCTTCATTATTTACATAGCTTTAGGTAATATAAACTACTTGGCTAAGAAAGTGTGATAATTTGAAAAACTTGCTTTTCCTTGAATGTGCATTTAAATAAGCCCTAAAGTGATCCCTAGGGAAACACAGTCTGAAAATAAACTTAATATATGCTTAATAAATATGTACTCTAACACTTAATCAGAATAACCTTCTGAAAGGAACTTTTTAACTACCTATTGACATTCTGATAAGAGACTCATTAATTATGGCATCATAAAACCACAAAATAATTTCAGAATTACACTTTAATACTCACATTTGTAAAACTTACCATCTGTCGCTTTCTCCGTCCTCCTTTTGGCTCCTGTGCTTCAGTTGGCGCAGTCACAGGCCATGCCCTTCCACTTTGATCTGTTCTGACAAGGACCACTTGTTCATCTTGACGGCTTGAAGCCTGTGTCAGGTTTTAAGATATATTTTTAAATGGACAATACAGACAAAACCAAAAGAAACACTTAATCCACACTAAATAAAACTTTTAAATCCTAAAGATTAAATAACAGATGCTTTTAACTTCTGAAGACTTAAATAGATAATCTTTAATTAATATACACCACTACCATCATAACAATGTATTCCTGACAGCCATCTGAAAAGCTGCAGCACATTACCACTTCTGGGCTTTCTGTGGATTGGAAGTGTTGGGGGGTTTTTTGATGTTTGTTTGGTGCATTCTTTTCCTTTCAAATTTTGGATATCAAACTAGCCAAAACATTCGCTATTGCTTTACAATACATTCCATTCTATCAGACTTTTCCTTCATACATTGCACCTACCACCAGTACAGATCACTTTATCATAATGTAATACTGAAATTTATTTAATCATGATTCTAGGATATGTAGAATAGGAAACATAACCAGCTTAAAACAAGTATGTCTCTATGGTGAAGAAGAAGCAGATGAGTAGACGTACATTGATTATGTAGGTCAAATGAAATTATAGACTGTCAGAAATGACAATGTCTAAATCATCTGTTTGTGTGTTGAAATATATGGAAACAAAACCAAACATTTATCTGGTGTATGCCAAATAAGCCTTTGGATGGCACACACATTCAGTCCCACATAAACTACACTTGTAGTTAATTACTGCTCCTACAGACCAAAATAAAATCATGGAAATCATGAGGATTCCAAACCTGACTAAACCAAGCTCTTGAGGTGCTGGAGATGTGAGGTAAGAGGCACACACAGGACGACAAGGGAAGCTTTCACACACTCACCCTTGATCCTCATGGGGGACTAGAACCACCAGTTCATTTGCTGGAAGAGCAACACAGTGGGTCACATGCAATTCAGCCTTGGAATGCATTAAGGAGAAGTACTGACACAAATGCTGAACAAACTGACTACGAGTGTTGCTCTACTCAATTTTATACTCATAAATAAAAATAATTTTAAAAAAACCAACAGTCTAAACAGGGACAAGGAAGCCAGCAGCTGCCTTGGCTGCAGCAACCACAAGATACTGGAGCTTAACATTCTAAGGAAAGTGAGGAAAGTCAGTAACAGAACAAAGAAAAATCCTGGATTGTAGGAAAACGGATTTCAGTTTATTCAGGAATCTGCTTTGCTCGATCTCATAGGGGACGGTCATGGACGACAAAGGTGCCCACGATAACTAGTTGATCTTCAAGGCCAACCTCCACAGAGGATGAAAAAGATCAATTTGATTTGCTATTTGGCTAAATAGGAAACTTTTAACAAAAACAAGAGGAAGCTTACAGAAGGTGGCACCCAAGACAAGTCACCCAGGAGGAACACAGAAGCACTTTCCAGGCATGCAGGGACAGAATTGGGAAAACCACAGCTGAAGCTGAAACTGGCAAGAGATGTAATGAACAAAAAGACGGAATTCTATGAGCACACTGGACATCCTTTTACAAGCAGGGACAGCACAGGTCCTCTACTGAAAGAAAGACCAAGTGACAAAGGCCATGAAAGATAAAAAGAGGTCAACCAAAGACTGGCGTGTCTTGGCAAGACAAAAAAAGAGAGTGTGAGCCAGCTAATCACATCCTGAGCTGCATTTTCCATCTTGTAGGTTATACAAAATAATTAAAGTTCTAGAGGCCAAAATGCTACTACCCTTACTGATGCACATGCAATTTATTACACCAATTTACTACCCATACAAGAATTGGAAAAAAGTCATTTTGGAAAGATTCCATAAACTAGTAAGATTACAGAGGGAAACGGGCAACTGAAACAAGCTAAAAGCATTCATTCTCCCAAAACTGTTCCAGCTCTGGACAAAATACAGTAGAAAAACATTCTGAAATAACTATTTCTTTTAATGATATAAGTATATAGCCTTGAAACATGGTTAAGTGAAATAATCAGTTTTGACAAATACTAAAAAAAGATAGTTATCATTTCCCGCCCCCTCCCCCCATAAAACTAAACAAATTAATTTCCAGAAAATGTATTTTCAGATTAGCATCTTTTCTATTATCAGCTAGTTTTTTCATCAACTTTCTACTCTGTATTTTAATATTTAACATTGCTACAGATATAAAAAATAGTCTTTAAGTAGACATCCTGTGCTCTTTATATAGAGCATAATACAATTGCATATTCACAATGGATGTAGAGCTTTGCAAGTCTCCACATCGCCTTTGCTTTCCTTGTAATCAACAGATATAAGCAAGAAATCTTTTACTCTTAGCAAAAACCACTTTGCTTACTGTTATTACTGTGGTCAACAAGTTGTAACCTGTTCTCTTTAATGAGACAAACAGAGCTAAATACACATTTTGCCAGCTATTTCACAATTACTATTACCTGACAAAGCATTGAGACCTCTTTATGACCTATCAGCCAAAAAAATTACTATGCATTTTCTTTATTCTTTAATATGCTTATTATAACTGGTGTGAGAGTTCAAAACTTCTAAACAGGAGCTACCTCATCTAGAAATAGTGCAGTCAGTCAACTGAATCCTTTGACATACATCTGTTACTTAAACTTAAAAAGAGCAATAGGAAACTAAAGATAAATGGTTACCTTTCATTATCTCTATACACATTCTGAACACCACTTTTTTTTAAATACTGAAGTTCACAAAGCATCATGTCCCAGGATCCAAACTAATAAAAGATAGGACCCAGAACCAGTCCTCTGGTTTGAGTTTTTTAAATTTCCATTTAAAACCCAAAAGGCAGATCAATACTGAAAAGACATCACAAGATCCATGACACAACCTACATAGGGATGCTATAAAAAAAAAAAAGTGCATGTGCATTCTGCATTATCCTCCTAATTTCTACTTTAATTGCAGTGGGGGGGAGGAAACACCAACAAAAACCCTTATTAGCTACGACTGACAGTTCACAGAGTGGTCCTTACCATTAGACATAGATACTTATATAGATAGAAGGTTAATAGGAAAACTACTGGTAATGTTGATTTTTCTTTACTATAACCCAAGAAGCAAGCTCCCAATTTCCTACCTGCAGTTCAATCTGACAGCCAGTGACAGATGAATGGATAGTAAAATCACTATCACTCATAGGAGCACAGCGGAGACCCCTCAGTTTTCTTGTGCAATATGAACATTTTGCCAGATAGTGTAAATCCTCATTGTATCTTCAGAATGGTTAAACCAGAAGCAAACACCTGCCTCAAGGAATTGCCTACAAGTGAGGTCATCTTAGTTTGGGCAGAAAAGTGTAACCCCCAAACTCTTAACCTACCCTTCAGCACTTAAAACCTTACAGGTAGCTAAGTTTTTATCAGTGGAATTCTAGAGTCACATCATGTTATGCCTCCAAGCATGCCCAAAACTGCTCCCATTTTGCCAGAGATGGATGGCTTAACATTGATTTCACATGCAAACACAATCAGAACATGTGGACTAAACACATTTATACCTACGTTTTATCCCTGGTTGACTTAGTTCAGATCCAGTGATCATTAACACTCCTGAGATCATTAACAAGGGCTGTGGCCACAGATTTAATTCAGAAAAATATACCCTTTTGCAAAAATATTCTGGAGAAATATCCTTCACTCATTAAACTCCTATGCAGCCTTGGAAGATTACAAATTTAACTCCTGTAACTTCTCTACCCACGAAGCAGAGAAAGGAGGAGAAGAGGCCTTGAATACCTGTACAGCAGGAGTGAAGAACAGGTATGGAGGACTCACTAAGCCAAACAGAATTTAGGAAAATGGAGCACTACCACAAAGCTCAGAGATGAACACACTCCCATGGATTCCAGACCTTCAGAACCCATTTCTCAAATGACTGCTTAAATACTTCATTACACCTCAGCTATTGCAAACTCCATTTCTAAGTACTTGCAGCTTATGCTTACCACCTTCTCGTTTGGAATGGAAGTAACTTCCTTTTCCAACATCCGTTCAGATGATGGAGATCCTGTTAAGAGCCAGGTCAGCTCAGCTCCCTCCAAAACAGGGAGCTTTACAGAGGTGTTCTCAGAGTTAAATATAGATAGATAGATATAGAGATAGATAAAGAGATACACATTAAAAAATTAAAAGAAAAGGCAGAAATTCTACACCAGAAAAATAAGTATTTAACTTTCTGAAAAGGTTAATAATAAATATTTTTTTAAAAAAAAGCCTGAGAGCTTCTTGATTACTCTACAAAGATGTTTAGGTAAGTTGGTTGATTAAATTAGAGCAAATAATAGGGACAATTATTAGGCAAATAATTGGACAGGCTCCAAAATGTTAGATCCTAACAAAGGCTGCACTTTTTTCTTCTCGTTTCTGCATGCCAGCACACTCACAGGCAGTAGAGGAGAATCTTCTGGATCTGAACTATGGAATAAGCTGGGGCAGGGGTGGACACTCAGTAAAACAGAGCTGCCTCTGTGCACATTCAAATTTTTCTCTTTTCTCTTAATGCATCTGATAATCAAAATCTTCACTACGTTTCCATCCTCCAGAGGGTCAACTGTTTCACTTCAAATATTTAATTCCCCATAGGCTGCTATGAAACTTGAAACATGTGGCTAAGATAAGCAAAAACACAACACAGTAATCAGACACCAAAAAGTCTATTACAGACTGAGAGGAAAAAAATGACCAAATCTGTCCATAAATTATGTTTAATCTCTGACTTCGCAGTATGATTTTGGACATGGCTCTGGAATGTTTTTAAGTAAAAGTATAATGTTTGAGACAGATATCAATGGTGTATTCCCATGTTTAATGATCATCTACATAAACAGGTGTATGTCTCCCTCACATCTTTTTACCGTTTAAAGGTGCTGTAGTTCTGCCTCAAAAATCACTTTCTCAGCTTCCCAATAAATATCGTCCCATAAGGTCCTTCAAAATTGTCTATTTATTCTAGCAATAAGCAATGCACAACTGAACATACGAATACAAGATTTTGTTATTTTAGTGTAATATAAAACTC